TTCTTGTGTAATCTAGCTCTTGGACTTGAAATAAATATCAGACAATTGTAGATTCGAATTTTCTTCTTTTTTTTTTCTTTTTCTTTTTCTATTGGTATATAATTCAATAAATTACAATTCAATGACTACAGATAATAATTAGTAATCAACAATTGACAAAACAAAATATAATTTGAAATAAATTACAAAGGATAACAATCCAACACAAAATTAGACAAGCATAAGGGACCAAAATTTTAAATTATATTTTGTAGGGCACATTACAATTGATCATCATGTTTTGAATGGTAAACCTAACAGCTGCTAATGCTAACCACAGTAATTTCTCCAGTAAGTTTACAATGAAAAGAAAAAAGAATGCTGATGAATAATGCCATCAAATTTAAATTATATAGGAAATGATGGTTAGAAATTAAGAATATGGAAAGATGGCCATACCTTGCAGATCTTGAATTACCATAGTCCATGATTTTGCTTCGGAAGGTGTTCTGCTGAGCTTCAGCTACTGGATTTGATTTGTAGGAACAAGAACGAGGAACAGAAGTAAACTGTCTGTAGATTTTGGAGCCATGAATTAAATGAAGTTGAGTAGAGAAGAGTTTAAGGCCAGAAAGAGCGGAGATGATCTTCCATGGCTTCCCCTCCAGTAATCATGTAAGCAATTTCTTTATCAAATGCATCGTCTTTATAAAAATACATCTAATTTTCCCCCTTTTGAAGTCGGCAACAATTGAAGCGTAAACATAATGTATACCAGAAATTCAAAATCATATGGAATGCTGACAATGACATTGAACAAACAGATGAATCGGAAGCAAATTCAGAAAAAGACATAATATTGCAATTGAAAAAAGAAAAAAAAGCAGAGAGAGAGAGAGAGAGAGAGAGAGAGAACGAAACCTTTTGAGAGGAGGAGGGACGGAGGAGCAACTGGGCAAAGGAGAGGAAAACCAAATCTGGGACAGTGACGCTTTGATGGCGCGCGGCCACGAGGCTCCCTCTATGTAGTTGATGCACAGTTGTCGGCGGAGGATGATGCTTCTGCAGTGGTGGTCGGCAGCGAAAGAGTGATAATGGAGAGTCTGAATTGCAGACTTACAGTGAGCTTGGATTCATTTAGATTATTACTTCATTAAGGGAGGGAGGAAGATGCACAGCCTTCACTCATCTTATTTCATCTCTAAATTGAAGGGATTGTGGTAATTTGATCTGTATATATAACTCTTTTTTAATTTTTTTTAAAAATAAATATGCTAAAGGTCAGCATTGTATACTAATACATTCATTATTTGTAATAATTTTATTT